AATTAGTTATGTTTTAAACACAAACCTGTCAAGGAACACATGGTGACCTTTAATTTGACATGTTTGAAAAGTACAAGTATTTGACAACTCTTTTTTCCTTTAAATCATATATGAAAAGCTGAAAATCATAATTGTAGCCCGATCTTCATAACATTTCATAAATATCTGAAAAAAATATTTTGTCTAATGAGATTCTTTATAATCATGCAGCCCACATATAAGGCAATAATGGTGATTTAATTGACAGTGAAGACCCACCTATCCAATTCTTAATGTACCCTATTAGTAAACAGTCTTTGAAAACCCTGGGCCTATTCAACTTTTCATTCCCTCTTCATCACCCCACAAAGGCTACTTACAATGTATGCTATTTATAATTATTTTGCAATATTGTTATTTTTATTGCTACATGTACAAGTACCAACCTTGAACATGTTGAAATTTCTCTTGACAGGTTTGCTTGGTATAAATTCAGGTCCAGTACAATCACTAGATTTAGCTACGTTAACGTAGGTATTTTTTATAGAAATAAATTACTTTGGTAGCTAAATAAAGCTACTTCAGGTAGGTAAATAAAGCTAACTAAGTAGGTAATTCAAGCTAGTAGACCTATATAGCTATATCTAGTGATTGTACCAGACCTGATAGTGTCTTGTAAAAAATCCTCTCTTGTCCACAATCAAGTCCCCATCAAAATTGTTTATTGATATATTTTTTTACCTATCAATAAGCCTTTTTATAAGGTACATAGTATTATAAACCAAGATCCACCTACCTGTTTCTTTTTCAAATTCAAACATTGTTGAATTGGTATCATCATCACTACATCCGTCTTGCTACCAAATGAATGTTTGCTGTCAGAATCATATTCATCAAAATCAGAGCCATAATCCGAAGACCCGTTGACAATTCACGCACTTGAATCTTTTTCTGGGGTCGAACAAAACGGTAACAAAACGTCTCAGATACGTCTCAGGATGCCATAATGTTTACACGTGGTTGGAACCGTACTTCGATCCCGATGGTTTCCATAATGTTTTATGCATTTTATACATAGGCCACGAGTATTTACGTAACAAATTACATTCACAGGAGGGATTAAACGATTAGATAACTTCGTAAACATAATCATTATCTACCTTCTCTAAAGAAGAGCGCAACAGGGGAGATAATTCTAACAAAATCTAAATAAATACTAAAATACGTTTTTTTTCACAGGAAAAGCAGGGAAAAAATTATTTATAGCTTTTATAAAATTAAAAATAATTTTCATTGTTTATATTTGTAAATATTTTACACAAAATTCATTAAAATTACGGTTAAAAGTAAAACTTATAAAATCATGAATTTTTCCATCATTTGAATTTGAGGTAATTTCATTACGATATAACTTTTCTGTCCTTGAGAGTCCAAAGGTGGATTTTACATATTGTTTGGATAATATCCTAGAGATTCTAAAATGCACAAAATTCTGAAAAAAGAAGCGTTACTTTCTAAGAAATGTATCCCTGAATATTAACAAAAAATGAACCATTATCATTTCTTGGCACCATGCCAATATTTGTGCCCTCGTGACAACCTTCTATATAGGGGTTTTACAAAAAAAATGATTCCAACTTAATTTTACAACTTAGTTCTATGAGAAAACATAGCCCTTTTATTTATATATTGTTTTTTCTTTTTTACTTTTAAATATTGAAATTGTCATTTTTACACCAATTTTTTTGCATTTTCCCTTGAATATTGACCAAAATGAATTATTGGCTGTTACTAAAAATAGAAACAACCGATGCAAAAATAAACAACACATTTTTGACTCTCAATGGGTGTCCTTTAAGTTAATAATAAAAATTAGTTTGTTCTTGAGAGTGCCTATCAGAGCATTTTTCTATATATCTGCATGGTTTTCTCGTAGACAGGCTCTTAAAAACTCCATCCTTATAACTTAAAATCCGTCCTTCCCAATCAGAGTTCCCCCCATCACTATTAGTCCATGTGTGTATTATTTCTTTCCCCACAAGGTCACTAGGAATCACATTAACACTTGTTTGTCGTATATTCAGAAGTTGTAATAAATTATTTTTCAGTTGTATAATATCAAATTGTTTGCCCTTGCTCGAATACTGGCATAAATGCTTGTGCTCTTTGCTGATTTTAAAAACTTTTTTATACATATTTATCTGAGTTTTAAGAGCAGATAGTTTCTCCTTCTTTGTTTTAAACTTTTCAATTTCATTCTCAATCATATCCTTGTTTTCCCAAATTCCCTGCTTCCTCATATCCTCTAAAGCTTTGTCTTCCCCTTATGTCTGTCTCTCTTTCTTCTTCTTTGTCTCCTCTTCTTTCTCCTTCAAACCTTGTATATGTTGTTGAAATAATATGTCTCTTCTTTCCTTCTGTAAGGCCATGAACTTTCGGTTTTCCTTCCGAGCATTTTCAACTATTAATTTTAGTTCACTTTCATCTTTCTCCTCTAGCCATTCCTTTGTATCATTGTCATTAAAAATCATCACACTTTCAACTGTATTTATATTGGTTGTTGGGCCTGCTTTTAAATCATAATCTAACTTTCCAAACAGTCTTTCTACACAAATATTGTTTGTAACACATGAAGAACATTCTTCTAAAATATCTTGAGTTACATTAAAATATTTACCACCTGACAAAAAGTCATTAAAAATTTTCTCAACTTTTGTTTTAAAAACACCACAAAATCTTTTCAAAAATACAGCGGTTAGATCGTTGTGTAAACAACAATCAAATAAAAAGTCTTAAACATTGTCATAAAACTGTGGTCCATAAAATAATCTTAACTCTTGTTTTAGAGCCAGTAATGGATTTTCATAATACATATTCAAAACAAATAAAAGTCTCTGATATACAGAACCCATATCTAATATTGTCCCAAATTCTGACGCCTTTGCAAAGTAAGGCTCTGTAATTAATTTGCATAAAATTCCTAAAGCTCTTAAAAGACATAAAATAACCTTATTTTGCAGAGATAAAACAATGAAATTCTGTAAAAAAGAGTATGAACTTTTCATAGAGAACATATATTGTAATAAAAGTTTATGGATAAAAAATGTACCTGCTGCATTATGAAAAGAAACATTAAACCTGTTTCCTCTGAAATTCATTATTGGAATTTTTTCTACTCCATGATATTTCATAAAAATGTCTGAAATGTTTGGATCCCCAGCACCATCTTTGTAAAAAAACTTTGAAACATTTCTTAAAAGAAACAAAATAAAAGGTTCTTTCAATCAATTTGAATACCCATTAAAATTAACTTCTAACTCCTTCTCAATATTAAAAGCCTCTGCAAAGCACACTTCTGAGAACTGTAAAAGTGGATGAATGCAGCATTTAAAAGAATGAACAGTATGTGAAATATCTTTGCTTAAAATATCATTTACTTTTTGTTCTGTTGCACTTCTGTCTGTCATAAAACAATAAACTGAATTTAAAATATTTGAAGCATCATTTTTGCTAGAGGATAAATCATTTATAATCTCTTTTGTACAATTGGCATATGTCTCACTCTATCCATTACAAACCTCTCTCACATCTGCAGTTAAAATCTTTTCTCCTGTGTTAAATTTAACACCATAAAAATGTTTGCCTTTTTTAGTCGTTGCGTCTCTATGCATTGTTGTATTTGTACAAGTTAAAAGAGTTTCATTTAGTTGATTTCTGGCAACAACACCCATTTCACTACTCAACACAGCTGCCGTACTTTTGCTCGGTAAATTTTTTACATTAATATCAAACAACTTTAAAACAGCTTCAATAATAGGTGCAATATGTACAATGCCAACATTATGGCTTCTAAAAATATAATATAAATTTCTTAATTTAAAATTAAAAGGTTTTCCTTTAGACAGATCTTGGAAATCTAAATTTTTTTCTACCTGTACAAAGTCTTGAGATTTTTCTTCATTATTTTCTTTCTCTGCTAATAAAAAATCCATTTCTTTTTTAATATTTTTGACATATGTTTTAAAAGTGTTACATTGGACACCTTTTTCCTCTTTTGTATTTTTTTTATTCATTTCTTTCTGTTTTAAAACCTTCACCTCTTCCTTTAAAATTTCAATTCTTTTTGTTTTTCTTTTCAAATTCCTATTGATGTTCCTCATATTTACAGACCTTAAGCGGTCTTTTAAAGCTGCGTTTTCTTTCTTTAATTGTAAAATTTCTTTTTGTTGTTCGTCAATTTTTTCTTGTAATTCTGGATATTCTTGATTTTTATCATCTTCTTTTTGTTCCTGCATTGTATCTTCTTTGATTTTCCTTTCTTTCTTTGAAGTTGGTAATTCAAATTTTTTTGGCAATATGCATTATACTTTTCTTTGTTGGTATATTTCTTAAGACGTTCCATTTCTTTTACTATTTTTTTAACCTTCCATAACAATGCAAATTTACTTATTTGCAAACAAGAAACGCCTAGGGCACCACAAATGCTTTTGTGAATATTTAGAATGTAATCTTCACCGCCCTTATGTTTGTCATAAATTTCTTGGATGTTTACGTACAACAGATCCATGATAATTAATAAAGTTAAACATGAACTAGAGTGAAAAACAGTGACCTAACTGATGTTAGAGATTACCACAAATTTGCTGTATAAAATGAAAAGAAATTGAAATAAAAGAAAAAAATGAAAACAAAACTAAAAATGGAAATAAAATCAAAAAATAAAATTAAAAAAAAAAAAAAAAAAAGAAAAGAAAAAGAAATTAAATTAAAGAAAAAATGTAACGGAAAATAACAGAAATAAAAGAAAAAAAATAAAACAAAACTAAAAATTTAAATCAAATGAAAGAAAAATCAAATAAAAAGAAATTAAATGAAATGAAATGAAGAAAAAATGAAATAAATTGTAAGTGTGCTTGAAGTGTAATGCAAACATGTATATACAAATATTGCACACAAAAATATACATTTTACAACACATATATATACACTGTACATAATAATTAAGTTTAAAGAATAAATACCTTAATGTGGATAATCTTTGTGTTGGTATTTCACTCTAGTAAAATCTTTTCATTTAACAGCTGTTAAACATCTGTAATAAAAAATATTATTATTAAGACTGTAAATCTTATATTTCCACAAAAAGCACAATTAAAATACATATTATGATGAACCTGTTTTAGCCACTAGACCTTAATAGAAATGTCTTATAACATCGTATTATTAATTTTTATGTATAATTTTTATCATATGTAGACACTGATTTTTTCTGAAAAAAACTATAACAAGGGCAGATAATCTATTTACAGTATATTTGATCGTTTAACAGTACACCAGCGTTTTAAAAAAGAATGTGAAAAAGTGAGAACAATAATAATAATTTAATTACATTAATAATAAATAACAGGTAATAAGCAATCATTCCACGCAACTTAATATTACTTAAGCTAAACTTTATACAGACTAACATTAGAAATACTAATTCTCTCATATGTCATGTATGTTGACAAGGCATTGTGTTACTTGAAATTTTTTTATTTTTACCAATATTATCGCCATTTCAAAAATATATTATCAATACAAATGCTAAACAAAACGATCTTTATTCTTGAATTGCAATGTCAGACATTTAAATCACACTTAGACCCAATAAATTACTTACCTCAACCCTCAGATGAGACTGTCGTCTATCACAAACGTGAAAACATGGATCTCGTGCCTTCCGGTTAGTTACTATATTTAGATAAGATGGCGTCAGGTGGAATAGCTAGTTAATGTTTACCTCACTATGTCACTGGATGTAAAGAAAGGATACTAAATAAAAAACCATGCAAACATACTGTATAGTTCCGGAAAAAAAACGGATTTAAAAGTTCCGAATTGGTGGCTCGGTTTAAGCCCTATACAGAATGGAGCACTAATATACAGTGTATACCTAATCCACATCCACTTGATTTGCAATATCACTGACATGCTATTCCATAATACGAAAACGTTCCTGCCCAAGGAAGGTACGACCATTCCATCTCGTAACCACAATTCCGACGTTAACTATTTCGTTAGATTGCATGTACTTCAACAGGCGGCGACCTGCCCCATGTGCACCTCCATCCCAGTAGCTTTCCTGTAACTTTCCTGAGTTGTCTATGAATCTATAAATTAAGATGCGATGATCTGCCTCCGCCGAAACAGAGTCAATGCTCACTTTTTTATAAAGCTCATTCACCTCCTCTATCGTATGAATTTTTCTTCCCGTGGCAAAAATCTCGGAATTCTTTATCCTGGTCGGTGAATTTTCAACATCTTTCTGACTTTTGTTGTTTTTATGTTCCCAAAAAAGTTTTTGTAAGCATAAGCTTCGTAGTATTAATTTTATCGCATCTGTCTTCGAACTTTTCGAACAACCCTCGTATATGTAACTAACATGTATGTTTTTCTTATCAGTAAAATTGTATTTTCCTTACTGAAAGCATCATGGCAACGAACCTCAGTGACGTAAAATTTGTACTTTGTAATTAACTTGCTTTAAATACGAGTACAATATTAAAAGAATACAATATTAAAAGAGAAAAACTTACGAATAAGGTATTGTTCAAATACAATTAAAGCTGTAAAGATTTGTGCTTTAAAAAATATATTTAAGTTTTTTTTTTGTTTTCTAAAAAAAGTCTTTTGTATCAATTACTCGGCCTATGCACGACCCCCAAAATTAATTTATTTGTTAATTGTGTATATTCGCTGCATGCTTTTATCCTTCATGAAAATGAAATAAGAACATCTGAAGTACAATATCCATAACATTGTATGAGGTTTCACATAAACGTCAATTAAAGAAATTTTTCATTTTGAAGTTTTCACAAAAAGTAGTTGGGGATGGTGACGTAAATCTACATCAAGCGGGATTTTGAATAAAGTATTTCTTCCTTCTATAAGCCTGTAGTCTGTCAGTAGAAACTACAATTGACAACGACAATATATTTTCTGTTGTAAATGGTAACTATGTATATAAAATAAATTGCCCGCTTGCGCGGGTGTTCATCTGGTTTAGAATAAACTAGAGGTACTGTGAGCAATGGGCTCACTAAATGATACCCCCCGCCTCCCATATGTGTATAAATAGCAGTGTCCATGTTTTGCTATGGGAAACCCAAAATATGTGATGGATCAAAAATTAAAATAGGAGGTGCACAATGGCAATATGTAATAAAGATTCTGTGAGAGTTTCATTAAATTTCATTCAGTGGCATAAGAGGAGTTGCGGATAAGAGATGGATACCCCAAAGCGTAACAGATGGACGGACGGAATTAACGATTACTATACTTTTCAAGCGGGGGGTGTAATAATCATTATAAATAATATCATCTGATAAAGGAGGATTAATATTTTAGCACCAAGCTAAGGTGTACATCAGAAGGATAATGATGTTGATGACGACAATGACGTCGATGATGTGGGTGGCCAGTCTTAAGACTTCACGAGATATTATCTTGTGAAAACGACATATTATCTTGTGAAAACGACTTATTATATTTTGTTGTCTTCACAAGATAATATGTCGTTTTCACAAGATAATAAGTCGTTTTCACAAGATAAGTCGTTTTCACAAGATAATAAGTCGTTTTCACAAGATAATATCTCGTTTTCACAAGATAATATCTCATTTTCACAAGATATTATCTCGTTTTCACAAGATAATTATCTCGTTTTCACAAGATATTATCTCGTTTTCACAAGATATTATGTCGTTTTCACAAGATAATAAGTCGTTTTCACAAGATGATATCTCGTTTTCACTAGATAATATCTCGTTTTCACAATATATTATCTCGTTTTCACAAGATAATAAGTCGTTTTTACAAGATAATTTCTCGTTTTCACAAGATAATATCTCGTTTTCACAAGATAATAAGTCGTTTTCACAAGATAATAACTCGTTTTCACAAGCTAGATAATAAGTCGTTTTCACAAGATAATAACTCGTTTTCACAAGCTAGATAACATGGATAATAAGTCGTTTTCACAAGATAATATCTCGTTTTCACAAGATAATTATGTCGTTTTCACAAGATAATTTTATTCTGGTATTTAAAAAAAAATAATTGCGTGTCCTAAATATACCACCGTACATAGACAAGTCAAATGACAAAAGAAATATTAATTATGTCTTAATGAAAGAAATGTCCCAATATACCGGTCTTGTTAAGTAGGCTTTCCCCCCTAAAATCTCCCCCCCCCCCCCCCCCCCGCCGGAAAACTGGCTCTAGAGTAGGATTTCCCCCCAGGAAAACTGGCTTTAGAGTAGAATTTCCCCAACGGAAATTCTACACTAGAGTCAATTTTCGGGGGAGGGATCCTACTTTGTGTTATTTATACTAAGATATAAAGTGCGATTTTCCCCAGAACCAATTTTCTTCCCAATGAAATATTATTGCTCTACTTATGTTTTGAGGGGGAACCGGTGGCACATTGCTACAAGTGTCCATTTTTCAAAATGGTCACCAGATGTATTGAACATACGAGGGGTTTAGAAAAGTTCGCGGACAAGTTCTATTGTGAGCGCGCTATTTCTACGAAACCGGTCCAAATTTCCAGATAAAATCTTAACCTATTTTCAAATAAATATACAAGAATTTGGTGCTCTACGGTGATCATTGACAAATATACAGCTTTTTTATTTTGATAAAACTTGCTTCACGGAGCATGCTCCATTTTGGCACGTTTACATCACAAAGACTCTTTATTAAAATAAAAAAAATACACAATTGTAGCGCAAAGAGATTTATGATATTCTACCTGTCGCTAAAGTATTCATGAAACGTCGCGGGAAGAAATTTTGAATTAAATTGGAGGGTATATGACTGTTTTATAGCCAAAACAAAGCCAAAAATCGGAACGTCATTGAGCGTCATGGAGCACTGTACTACGTAAAAATTATGTGTGCAGAGAGGAAAATGTCTAAAGAGATTAAAATGTTCAAGATGCTGTCGGGAATTTCCTACATATAAAGGACAAAAGTTTTCAAATGGTTGTAGCTTCATAAGAATGGAAGGATTAAGATTTTGAATGATTAACTACATCGATACTTCAATACCCTCTTATCGCATGGACGTTGTGCATATATGAATTTGCATAGTTTCCATTCCTGATCGATTAACTGCATATACTTTTTTCTAAAGATCTCAATAATACCCGAATCGGTACAATCCGAATCAGTACAAAAGGCATTATAGTACAAAAGTAACGTGTCTTGATATAGATATTAAAATCTACAGTAGAAAAAGATAAGAAAAATCTTAAACGAAAGATTTATTGAACTGCGATAAAGCTTAATGGGTTGAAATCTGCAGGCATGCTTATGAAAATTTCCTAATCTCCGTGAATCCCATGACTTCATAGTAAAAATCGTTGTAATGTTTTAAAGATTTTAGTAAATGGACCTGATTTTGTACATACTAATAAACAAAATGTAGGAATTTGATCAGACATAGGTCATACTTCACAGTACACGATAGCTTTTCCGTAATATAATGTGTCCGTGAACTTTTCTAACAACCCTCGTACGTATACGAAAAATGACATGAATTCTTATACAAATTTTTTGAAATCAAATAAATTATTTTCATAGCTTAACCCAAGTGCAAAATAAAATTTTAGCCATTTATCAAATGTTAGAATAATAATTATTAATTAAATATAGATTTAAAACTTTTGTAATTTTCATTCCATACTTACATTTTTTCGTTCAAACTCTGAAAACTGCTGAAAAAAGAACATTGTTTATGACAGATGATACTGACTTTTGTCAAATATTTTGAATATTACTACTGACTCTTAAATTTTCATTAAAAGCTTCACAATAATGGGATCTAAGGAGATTTAATTTGACAAAAACCATAGTAAGTTCACTATTTCTTTTAAAATGTTTTAGAGAGTTTATCACTTACAACCAAAATAGGTCCAAAAATATATACCAATCCAGACATCCATTTTTTGTTTGTTTCATCATATTTTGAGAATATTTACGTTTCTTTTGAATGCTACCAGGTATATTTTGGCTACGATTCCATGATATATTTTGGCTAAGATTCCATGATTTGAAATATATGCTTTGAAAAATCTTACAACATTAAGGTCAGACGACACATTCGTCAAAAATATATAATTTTTTCTAAGAAAGTGTCATTGAAGTAAAGGTAAAAAGTTTCCTCACAAAAAATAGGGTACCTTACCAGACATTTGGACAGGATACCTAGGGTCAAATTCGTTATATAACCCTAATGGATAATCTCTTGGATGGCCTATATCACAATTTTGCGTGTACTTGTACCCAAAAACGTTTTGAAAACAATGTAGAAATCAGAAGAGAATGACAAATATAAATAATTTTTTTTATATAATACCAAGGGGAACAGGACATATATATTTATGAACGTGTACACGTCTAACCTTAAATGAAAAAAAACCCATTCATTTATCTTTTTAAAAATCACGTTTGTAGTTTATCTTTTTTTCATAAAAAATTTGCGTCTGTGGTTTATATTGACTTTCAAACAAGGGGGAAATTCTACTCTGAGAAAGAAAGAGGGGGGAAATTTGGCTCTGGTGTGAGATTTCCCCTCGTGGGAAAATCCTACTCTAGAGTACGATTTCCGGGGGGAAAGCTGGCTATGGGGGAAATTCTACAACATCGATACTACACCCCCCCCCCCCCCAAAAAAAACTTCAAAAATGTGACCCTTTAAAGATTAAGGTTTCGCAAAAGGTCAAACTACAAT